TCTGCTCCACTTAGGTGCCGGCTGACTGCTCTGACTGAGCCGTGGGACCGAAGGAGGAGGGATGCTGGGACGGAGTAAGCAGTGCGACAGCGCAGTGCTGGGGTGGCCGGTTACTGTGCCAGTGTACGAGCCGAAACATCGTTATAGTGTTGCTTCTTACGAACTAACTATCCATAGAAATTTAATGGTGTATGTTTTTCCTAGTGGTTAAATGGATGTCGTCACAGGGAAGCTTGACAATTCTCACCAAAATTGCACGGAAAACTCTTTAGAGTTGGTTATGTCATGATACTAGGGAAATGACTGGTTGCTGTCAATGGTGATAGTAGCATAAGGACATCTATCGGAGGCAATACACACATCTTTTTATCAGGAGATTGAGAAGTATAATCCCAACCAAGACCCTCCAGTATTTTTCTAGAGAAAGACGTGATTTCATCTTATCTGCTTATCCTCTTGCAGGAGATTCAGCTCTTTCCCTCCCTGTAAAGAATGCTGTAGTCTTGTTCTGGACATTAGCTCTCATCTCAGACACGTATTAGACATCATTGCTTGACTGTCTCACTGCCACTTCAGATATCTGAATGTCTAAAATAGAACTGAGCATCTTCCCGCAAATTCGACTCCTTTTATCACTTAAGAGAAGTTGTAAAGAAAATACCCATCGCCTACTGGTTCGGATTAGGAACTGCAAATTCTTACGGACATCTTTCCCAAGAGAAGTTCATTTATACAATGCTTTGCAAGAAATTCAAGGTTGATGTCTAGTCGCTTCTGGAGCTAACTCAAGGATACAGTATTAAAAACAAAAAGGGCCCAGATTGAGGGGGTGGAGTCCAGCAATTGAGACAGTCAAGCAATGATGTCCAGTACATGTTTGAGATGAGAGCTAATGTCCAGAACAAGACTAGAGCACTCTTTACAGGGAGGATGGAGTCCAAGGCCCATTGCCTGGTGTTCCATGTGTTGGTGCTGGTAGAATACTACCCTTCAGGAGCCTTCCTCATTGCATGCCCCTTATATGGACTCTTGAGTAACACCAATTTACTTGTTTCTCCTCTGAGGAGGGTTTGTCCCTTTCTCTACTCCTTTCTTTACACAGCCCATTCCATTTAGGTTGCTTTGAGAGTTCTCTTTGCCCAGTGACCTTTGTCTGCCCTTCAAAAACCAGCTGAGTCATTCCTCCCTTGAATTCTGTCTAGGGTGCCCATTTTTCAAATGTTGTGTTAGTGTTATGTTTTCATGGGGACACATCTCTCTACTTAGGGACTGAAAGTTCCTTGAAGACAGGGACAGACATTTCTTCATTTAACTATCCAGATGGCCCCGTACACATATCTATTGAATACTTTCAGTTGACCTTTTCTTTCTTTTTTTGGGGGGGGGGAGGGGAGACAGTTCAGCCCTGCTGATCACTTTGCCTTCATGTGCGGTCTTGAAAACCTTTACATACCAAAATAGACTTATTAATGTTTATTACTGCTATGTTAACTCAAAGTGAAAAATAATTCCAGTGACTCTTATAAAAATAAATGCAAATATTTATTGTTTTACTGTTCAAAATTAGAAATATCTCCCTAGCTAGGTGGTTTGAACAATATTAAATTTAAAAGTGTTTTTACATTGGACACAAACTTATTGATAAAAGAAAAAGCAGAGGGTTTTTCATAGGATTATTCCTAGGATAAAGTCTTTTTCTTTAAGAATACACAATTTAAAAATATTAGAGTACATTGAACCCTCAGTGAGGTTTAGTGTATATGAAATCATAACTCAGGTTAAGAGTTGAACCTGCATGTATTTGCCATATATTCTTATGATACTCATAAAACAAAATATTCCTCCCCAAGGAATATTGGTATAAACATAAAATGGCAGATATGAGCTCCCTATTAAAGATTGGGAACCAGTAAAATTATGTTTCTGCTCTTTGTTTCCACTTCCCTGAGATATAATCAGTGAAAGTGTTTGACCACATTTTTGAATCTTGGGTGGTTTAGGCAGGAGTTACCCAGAGGTGCCAGAGCCTTTAGATTCTTTACAGGATTATGGAGAATTTTAACTTGATGTTGAAACCATGAGAATGTAGATGAAGAAAAGTCACTTTGTGTATATTTGCCAACCATCCATACTCAGTCACTGAGGCTTTAGAAGCAAACTGTTACGTCATTGGCCCTGCAAGTATCTGCTTAACTATATTACATAAACATTGGGAAAGCCTCAGGCCTTCTTGGGGATCAGGGTCAAGTGATCATCATAGACTTTTTGTGAGTTCTAGACTGTACTGTGACACACATATTACATTTCACTGCTCTGCCATTTGCTTTTCTTGCCGAGAGTATAGAGATCTGGAGGAGAAAGAGAGGGAACTACTCCTGATGTGTTCCTTTCATTTCACACTTGTTTGTACTTAGTCTTTGTTTCTCACTTATTAAGAATGATGATTCATAACTTAATTCCTGCTGGAGAAACCAAGAGACATGGAAGAGAATTGGAACTGGGGTGAGAGCTTAATGAAGGCTGTGTGCTTAAATCTTTCTAAACCCTGGTTTTTACAGGCCATATTTTCCCAACTAATTACATGAAAGGAACAAATGAAGGCATGATCACTCACTTCCATGTGAATATTTGTCTGAAGATTATACTTGGAACACATAGCAAATTAATTGAAACTCTTCACTGTACTTAATTTTAAGTAGTGGGTAAGGTCATAATTTGTATCCATTACTGTATTTCGATGATGTATTTTGCTAAGGTATGGTGCATGCTATTAAAACTCAAGGAGCTTTACAAAATACTTATTTAAAAAGTTAAAATATGAGAATTGTTTTTTTTTTAAATATATCTTTATTGATTTCAGAGAGAGGAAGGGAGAGGGAGAGAGAGAGCTAGAAATAGCAATGATAAGAGAGTCATTGATCTGCTGCAGCCCACAACCCGGGCATGTTCCCTGACCGGAAATCAAACCCCGATCTCCTGGATCCTAGGTCGATGCTCAACTGCTGAGCCATACTCGGCTGGGCAAAATATGAGAGCTTTTTGACAAAATATGTACACATTCGATTTTCCTATTTTCTATACTCTTGGGGTGTGTAAGTATTTAATTGACACCTCTAGGTGCAAAGCCCTGTGTTAGAAGCTGTGAATGACTCAGTGATGACTTAGACATGATCCACACCTATTGGGAAAAAAAGACAAATGTGTAACTATTATAAAATATTCTACTATGGCAGATCATTTTTCTGATTGCTAGATGACATTAATTTTCCATTTTCCCTTTGGGACATGCTGGAATTTTATATTTTGACCTTTATTCAAAGACGCTTTGAAGACAGAAAGTTAAAACCGACTACCCTATTAAAACTCTTCATGTCAAAATATTGCAGTATTGCAGAAGACAACAGGGAAGCTAGAGTTGCTTTAAATAATAAGTGTAGGATTGAGTGCTAGGGATGGAGTTGGTTTATACATTTTCTTCCACATTCCCGTAGACACAAATTTCCTCCTTCACTGAATTCTGTAGCTTAAGGAACATAAAAAGGATTATTAACTATTGCCCCTAAGTTTTTAAAACATCTCTTGGTCTTAGTAAATAAACAGTCTGAATTAAAAATTCTAGGAAGGAATTTCTTCATCGTTTGTAGCCACTATGTAAGCCATAGCCTCTTGGAATATTAGAGACTATTATTTTTGTCAGTTACTCAAGATTGAAGACTGGTAAAAGGATGGATGTTGCAGAACCTTGAGAGGTTCCATCTCACAATTATTTTTCTTTCCCTTTCAAACCTTGGAGAACATAGTACAAGTTATTTAACAGATAGGTACCATTTTAATCATCAGATAGATTTCTACAAATTATGGGTAATGCTCACATTAGTTTTGAAATTATTATTCATTTCCATTATGTGAGTTTCTACTTCTAAAAATACATTGGCTTCAGGTTCCAACAAAAGCCATCATATTTTTTATTTCCATGGTATAGTCTGCTGTTATCAAAGTGTCTATGAGTATTTTATTCCTACCTAATAACTTATGCAAAGAAATAGTCAATTGCCCAGTCAATCCTCATGATCTTTGCAGACATTTAAAAGCTTATAGATATTAAAATGCACCACCTAGGCTCCATTTCTTTGAAAGTATGTATAGCAAATGGCTTAGTCCTTGAAAGTTTAAGTAGCCAGGCCAGCTTGCGCATCGTGGTAAGGTGTTTTAGCGTTCTCTGGCTGTCAGAGCTGTGTAGATGTGCTGATGTCAGACAATGCTAAGTCCTCAATTTGCATTCTTAGATATGTTACTGCTTTGAATGTTACGAAATGCTCTTGACCTAAAGAGTAACCAGTAGCAGAGATTTTAGCTTTCTGTTACTTAGTTGGAAGAATCCTAGTCATTTTGACAAAATGGGACAGTAGTGTTGCATTCCATTACACTAATATTTGGCTCACAAAGGTAGCCTCAAAGAAGTCTTTTTTCTTTTTTCCCCCTATATTCTCACCCTGCACTTTTTCGGTGACTGGCACTGGGAACAGGGATCCTCTCATATTCTGTATGAAATAGCTGGCCAGGCCAGGGGTTTTGAACTCATCCCAGGTGGAGCTGGACAGGGCAGTCAGATGAACGAGGTGGGCTATGTGGAGGCGCTAAGGCGTGGTGGAGAGTGGCCAAGTGGAGGGTACACGAATGAGCGTGCGTGTGTAGCGCATTGCGTCAGATCCATCTGCTACTTCACAATGGAATGCAGGCCCACTTTTCATCAATTGCATGATTGTTTTTTTCAAGAGCTGCTGGAAAACCAGATTTCTATGCAAAATTTCCTATTCTTAAAATACTGTGCAAATCAAACAGGACACTTCTACGGGTCAGGCTGTGGTTTGCACTGTGATCTAGACTTCCCTATGTGTGGATGGTAGCATCGAGACCATTTTATCATCATCTTCCGTACTTTCATACATTATTTAATAGCCGCATGAGTCTCTCTTTATAAACAGTAGGAACTATTTAGGAAAAAGATTACAACACGACACCTAGGTCCAAGCCAAAGTTTCTTGTCACACTAAGCATAAACTGTGTACTGTTACTGTTTAATATGTTCTAACAATAATGTCATTCTTTTTCTCAGATTGGAAGAGTCTGAGCTAAACCTATTTTCTGTCTGTGTGGGAGCCTCAGAGCAATGTGGTTCTGCTTGAAAAAGCCCCTACGGATAACTCACCTCCAACCTGAAAGGTCTCTGCACGAGAAAGAGGTGTGATGTGCTAGTTGATTGCTCTCAGTGAAGTCGCTACATAATGTACTTGCTTTTCATCTGTTCCCCTTAGGGAAGGTGCCATTCAACAAATGCTTATTGAGTATTGGACCTTCTAAATTATAAATTCCCATCCCCTGGTCTCAAGGTTTTCTCCTTCAATCAATAGTTTCCATTTCAACCATGTTTATCATTGCAGTTAACCATCTCCTTCCAGTTGGTCTTTGCAAATTTTTTTTTTTTAAAGCAACAACCAGTTATTTCCAAGTCTCCTAAAAAGAAATATCTTCCCCTCCCAACCCCAGCCATTAAACATTTAAAACAAAGAAAGTTATTTTATTGAATACCTATAGTTTGCCAGGTAATATGCAAAGTTGGAGGAGAGTATGAAAATAAATAAGACATAGAAATGTATGCCTCTAAAAAAGATGCTAACGTACTGTTATGTCAATACTGTTGCTGGCAGGAGTTCAGATGGTGTATAATAAATCATTAGTGGATCAAGCCAACATCTAGTTAAGTGCTGATCTGGGCTCCATAAAGTGACTGTTCCTGTACTAAGTTATGTTCCCTTAAACAAGTTACTACATTTCCTGTTCAGTAACCCACCCCTGTTCTGCACCTATGAAATTTTTTTTGCCCTTTATTTTCTTTTAGGAACATAACTCATTAATTTCTGTTCATAATAGCAAGTGTGTGATGTTTCATAATCCCTAGAGAAAAGTGCTACCAAAATCTAGCTTGATCGTAATATAACTTTAATTTTAAAGTATTGAGTGAATTTACAGAACGTGCAATGTTGCTTTGTGAGATATGTCAAAAATGAAGCCTTTAATTCTCAAATTGTCATAGAACTTTGGGAGCAGTGCAGTGGGAGTTTAAACCCTAAGTTCCTTCCTTGCCAGAGCCTGAATACTTCCTCTGACTGAGTGGTTGAGTGTTGATGCTTTGCCCACAGAGCTCCGCCATTAATTCCTCTACAGTTTCCACAAGTCAGGCTAGTAGCTGACCATTATTACTCTTCCTAATAAGAACTGGTAGTTCCTAGGAGCTTGCTGGGTAATCAGTTCCTTCTCAGTCATACCTTGTGGTTGTTTCTTAGGAACAGGTAGTATCCCTTCCTTTTCCCCATCTCATCCCCAAGAAAATCTGTTGGGAAAGATTATCCAGTGATGTAATTCATCCTAGATGGGAGTGCTTAGCTTTCCACCAGCCCTTACCCTTGGGCTGAGGACTTTTCCATTCCTACTTGCTGTGTTTCCCTCCCGCTAAAGAAGAATACCTGGAAGGAGTGTCAAGAAGTACAAATTGGTAGTTACAAAATAGTCATGGGGATGCAAAGTACAGCATAGGGGATGTAGTCAGTCATATTGTAGTAACTATGTATGGTGCCAGGTGGGTACTGGAAATATCAGGGGGATCACTTTGTGAAGTATATGATTATCTAACCCCTGAGCTGTACACCTGAATCTAATACAAAATAATATTCGAAGGAAAAAGATGTTGCTATAGAAAGCCTTAGAGTCTCTGTCGTCCATAGGAGTAAACCCAGCTGCAATTTGCTTTTCCTTGGGGAAAAAAAAATCTCTAAACAAGATATTTAATAATGAAACCAAGTACTGCATGACTAGAGGCAGAATAAGCCATGATAATCAGACACCCTTTCTTCATGTCAGTTTGGAATATATTCTGCTACAGGGGTATTCAAACATTTGTTCTCAGGACCTCTTTGCTCTCTTAAATCTTTGAGGACCTCGGTGAGCTTAATTTTATATGGCTTATACTTATCAATATTTTAGATTAGACATTGGAACTAAGACATCTAAATTATTTTAAAATTTTGTTCATAAAAAAGCCCATTACGTGGTAACAAAAATATTTTTTTGAGAAATAACCTTTTCAAAACAAGAAAAATTATTAAGAAAAGTATTTTTATATATTTTTAAAAAAATATATCTTCATCGATTTCAGACAGAGGAAGGGAGAGGGAGAGAGAGAGATAGAAATATCAATGATGAGAGAGTCTTTGATTGGTTGCCTCCTGCACACATCCAACTGGGGATCAAGCCTGCAACCCGGGTATGTGCCCTGACTGGGAACCTAACTGCGATCTCCTGGATCCTAGGTCGATGCTCCGCTGCTGAGCCACTCCTGGTCAGGCTTTCACATATCTTTTTAATGTCTTACTTAATGGGAGATAGCTAGACTCTCAGATTTCTTTTTGCATTCAGTCTGTTTTGATATGCTCCTTTAATTGAGGTTTGTTTATGAAGACAATTGGACCTCACACAGATATATAGTTGGAGAATTGTGTATATTCTTTTTGATAATTACACCAAAACTCGACAAGTGGTAGTTTAAGGCTTTTTTTTTTTTTTTGCAAGGAACAAACTGAGACCATGTCAATGAACTTTTAGTCTTCTGTTAACTTAAAATCCATTGGTCAATCCTGAATTTTGAATGGATGTTTTTACTTAGACATGATTTTGTAATATCATACAATTGTCCCTTGGAAAATATTGGTATAGGTTATGCGGATCTTCCAAATATTAACACACTTTCTTGTATGATATTATAATTATGTTAATTAATATCACCACCAATCTTATCATAAAGGTCTTTAAGTTTTGGGAAGCTGTGATGCTCACGGTGGTGGATACAAGTTATCCAAAATTCTAATTTTCATTTAAAAGCTGGAATTTTATTATTGACAATAAATGCTATCAGTTTTCCTTCAAGTGACAGGCTGACTTTATTATTTTCAAGAAAATGTCAGTTACCAAACTGTAACTCCATTATATATCATGAAGAAGTGGAATGTGCTACTTTTCCCCTTTTATCCAAGGACCAAGGATAAGCAAATAATTCCCTTTACATCTGCCACGGTTTAATTATTCTTCCTCTCTTTTTGCCATTATAAATAGGTGGTATGAGTTTTTCTGAGCTGTAACCTCAGACCCTTTATCCCCAGTCAGGTCTTGTTGGCTCACATGTCCCCTCTTGCCCACTTTTGTCTGTCCTGCCATCCTGCTGAGAGTTTCACTCAACTTCTTGAGGTTCCCCATAGCTTATCCTGAGCTCTGCATCCAGACATCCTTCTACCAAATTTTAATACTGTTTTGGTGAAATATCACCCTGTCCTTGGTTATAGTGTCAGTGCCTGAAGGTATTTGTTGAACGTATACCCATACTATGAAATGTAAGTGTCAAGGTAAGGCATACTTCTGGAAGATAATGTCATCTGTATTTTTCTAATAGGCCTATTGATCTTAGCAAGTGAAGAAAATTATTTCACTAGTTTGTTTTGATTTTAAAATATGCACATGAGATTGAAGGCAGATGGGTAGACTGGGAAGTACTTAAAAAGTGGTGTTGGACCTGGGCTTGCAAACTACAGGTATGGTTTTTCCACTTATCAGCTCCTGGACCTTCCGTGAGGTGTGCTGCCTCTTGGAGACTTCTTCTCTTTGTCTGTATAAATGTGTTAGTGATGTTTACCTGTAAAGATTGTAGTCGAGATTAATCTCATTGTGTATAATAAAGTAGCAACCACAATGTGCCACCAACAGTAGATAGCAACTACTTTTAAAATTATAATAATTTATTAATTTTGGTCTTAGACATTTGTCAGGCCTAGTTTTTGCAGTCACATGTAGTTGTATCATTCTAGAATGAAACGGTGCCCTTAGAACAGTGGTGGTTTGGCATGTTTGCATTAGCTAAAGTTGTAAAACAGATTTTTACATGTTCATGTAATGAACAACAGATGAAAAACAAAATGCAATAAATATTTTTTTCAATATTCAAACATGACAGCAAATAAACTCATGTTTTTCAAAGAATAGGACCCTTAATTGGATGGGATTTTTATGTAATTCATACACAGTCTGAAGCTAATATTGTTAACTTGATATATTCTAACTTCATTACTTACTTGCTCACTGGTTAGTCATACCAATGGGTAGGTTTTATTCTGAAAATCTCCAAGTGTTAGTTTTTGAGTTATAATTAATAAATGTTTTAGGTGTACAACATAATGATTCAATATTTGTATATATTGTGAAATAACCACCACAATAAGTCTGGTTAAAATTCATCATCATAGTTAACAGGTTTTTTTCTTGTGATAAGATCTTAAGATCTAGTTTCTTAGCAACTTTCAAGTGTGCAATACAGTATTATTACCTATAGTCACTATGCTATACATGACAACCCTAAATCTCCATTCCTTTTTCAAATCTCGAAAGTAGATGACAAGGCAGAAGATGTCTGGGGTGATAAAACTGAATATGGAATTAAAGCATCAATTGCTTGTTCTCAGACACTAGACTTTTTCCAAATAATGGAGAAATACCTTTATTTTCATCTGGGAGTGTCTATTATGTTTGTGTATACTAAATGAACTGTGGAAATTGTGGCCTGCAAATACATAAAGCAAATAAAATTCTTGCCAGCTGGGGTGTAGCTAAATGTTCACCACTCTCCCTGTAAGTTAGTCATTAAAAACAAACTTTTGAACATTGGTCTAACGTATTGAAGAATGCTGATTTTCCTGTTTGACATGGTAACGAATGGTAATGCATTGTATAAAAGCACTTATGAAAGGATATTTTTATTTTCACATTTAAAAAACTGATTCTGGTTTTTAAGGAACTTTCCTTATAAGCCTATATAGGCTCTGGTAAAATCCATTCTGAAGAACCTAAGGCAAATAGCTTCTGAGAATATGAACTTATTAGTAGGGCTTATTCCTTTGGCTATATTGCCTGGCTATATTTCCTGATAATAGTTTTCTTTTAGATATGTGAATTTCAGATAGCAGCAGCAGTACGACTTTTTCTCCTGTGCTCATTAGTGAATACATACAAGATGGGTAGAATGAGGCAGTTGAAGGACAAGTCAGTATCTTCTAGCTCCCTTCTTTACGTCACTCTTTATCATGTTTATTGGGCATTAGTTTTAAAGCCTGTATCTAATAGGGACTTTGGCATATGTAAATA